TCTCTCTCTCTCTCTCTCTCTCTCTGTGTGTGTGTGTGTGTGTGTGTGTGAGAGAGAGAGAGAGAGAGAGAGAGAGTCTGTCTGTCGCGGGGGGGGTTTCCCTTGTCCTCCTCATTGGCCTCCCCTCCTCTTCCCCCTCGGGTGGGGTGCCCTAGGCCTCCTCCTCCTCCAAGAAGTGTGGATGTAAGTGGCCTTTGGGGAGAAAGAAGAGGGGGACTCCTTGGTTGGGGGTAGCGGGGATGATGATGGGCGCGGGGGGATGATGGGCTTTATTAACAGGAACCTTGAAACCAATCTCAGCATCAAGAATAGGAGGAGGAGACCCTTTGCAGAAAAGCCTCTCTCAGCTCTCTTGTTGTGTGTGTGTGTGTTGTGGTGTGTGGGAGGGGGGCTGCCTCCTAAGTGGGCTTCCTTTCAGGACAGCTCGAGGAGCCATGCTAACAAGGAATCTCTATGACCCTGAAATTTGACTGGACTCCAGGTTTGTATTTCAAGGCATATTTTTGGTGACTGTGCCACCGGAGGGAGGGCACATGGGCTGTTGAGGGAAATTTCCCTGCAAGTCCGTGTCTTGCTCCCTGACATCTTCTGTGCTAGAATCTACTCTGAGACACATCCCCCCCTTAGTACCAAATGCCTGTCACCCCATAGGGTGTAAAAAGTTTTCGTTTTTAGCTGCCTTCCAGCAGTTCTCACGAGCCCGCCATTGCCTTCTATGACTGAGCTGGTTGTGTGTGGACTCTGGTCTTCCATAATGGGGGAATGTGCTGTGGATTAAATCTAGGGCATTCTCCATGCCTGTTGCTACTAAACAGTCACCCTCCTGCAACTGACCCTTCCTACCAGGTTCAGGTTAGTCTGTTGATACACCGAGCCACAGTCTTCTCTCTTTGACGACAGTTCTCAGAGGAAGGCTGGTTTTTTTGCTCTGCCTCCTATGACTTTTTTGGTGCAAAAGGCAGGGGTTCGCCCTGTCTGCTTCTGCAAGCAACATAGATGCACTAGACTAGAGCCAAGATGTGGATACTTTTGGTGAGCCTGTGAAGCTGCCGTATATGCCAGGGGTGGTGTTTAATCCATCCAAGTCCATACTGTCTTCCTTTCCTTTGCAGGCAGATTCTGAGATCTTGGGTGGATGCCCAGTTGCCTAGGGTTTTTTTTCCTAACTGGAGAAGAATCCAGATCACTGGTTCTTAACCTTGGGTTACTCAGGAGTTTTGGACTGCAGCTCCCAGAAGCCTTGACCACCAGCTGTTCTGACTGGGGTTTCTGGGAGTTGCAGTTCAAAAGCATCCGAGTAACAAAGGTTAAGAACCACTGATCTAGATGTTTTGGATTTCCAGGCCTGGGGAAACTTTGGTCCTCAAGCTATGCTGGACTGCAGTTCCCTTTACCCTTTCCTATTGGTTGTCCATGATGGGAGTTACAAGCGAAAACATCTAGGGATTCAAATGCTTTCTTTCTTGCTTCTGCATGCACTGAGTTAAACCATTGCTCCTTTTGACCTGTTTTCCTCTCTATATTGACAACGTCTGGCAGAGACTTCTCTCCCAGTTCTTCTTCCCAAGGCCCTGTGGAATGAAAATAACAGGGATCAAGCCCACAGCCTTTTGTACATGCCCTGGGAGGTAGCTCTTGCTAACTGGTAGTTATGGGAAGCCCTTGAGTAACTGAAGGAGCAAGATTAGTTCTAGCAGTTTTGTTGTCAGCTCTCAGCACATTAACAGAATTGCTGCTTTTGTAAATAGTTCACATAGTTCTTTTTCCTGACCTTCCAGGGGTCTTTTAAGGTAGAGCAGCACTGCATAAAGAAGAAGGAGCTGAGCCTGTGAGAGAGTGACTTACCTCTGTGGGCCAGCAGGTGAGTTGTAGCTATAACCCAAGGTGGGTCTCCTTAGAATTACAACGTGTCTCTGACCTGTTGTAATTCTCAGTTTCACTTGTGGTTATCAGCCTTGGAGCAGAAAGCATCTTCTAAAAACCTGGGTACTTTGATGTGTATTCTAAATTAGTGCAAATTATCATTAGCACAAGCCAAGATAAGTAACATTTAGCCACAGAACAGCTCTCTGGGTTTGGAAGAAATGGGTTGTCAAGACAGATTGTACCCTTTCTAGGTTACTAAGGGCACTGTTCTCCAGTTTAGCTCCAGTTCTTCCCGTCAGTTTCTTCTGATCATGACATGTGTTGTTTTCTTGGTCCTTGTATGAATCAGTAGATTCCAAGAGGTCATGAGGTGCTTGTTTTTCTTAAGCAGATATGGTTAGGGCAGTAAAAATAGTAGATGTCCATTGTTAGCCAGACAGTATATTGTTAAGATTGGCTTATTATTTTTGTTTCCTTGTTTTAGGCTTTTGCCTTTAAAGTTAAAAAAGGAACTCACAAAGCAGAGTGTGTATAATGACTAAAGTAGTTACCTGTAGTAACAATCTTTAAAAGTAGCAGCAAAACAAAATGATTGATCACCTTGCTAGCAGTTTTGCACATATTCAACTCAAATGTAAATCCCTGCTGAGTTCAATGTGGCTTACTACCAGTAAATATAGTATTTCTGCCAAAAGCTCAGTAAAATCCAGGCTTTCAGTCCTGCTCAGATAACAAATATATTAAACTAATTCTGCCTAGCAAAAGGAAGAAGACATGGTTTTAAATGGCTCGCTGGCATAACATTTAGGAAATTAAACTCACAAATGTTCCTTTCCACTCTGCACAAGAGTCTGATAAAGCATATGTTGTGTAAAAACTTACTACATCTTAAAGATTCCACCAGATTTTCTGATTTTTTTCCCCTGTACAAGGGATATTCTTGATTGTCTGCAAATGTTTTGTGTCCCAGGGAGGTTATAAGCTAATTGTATTGCCTACTGGATGTTAACACAGTGAGTAAGCAAAATCATTTGATGAGTTAGTTTTAAAATACATTCAGATATTAGTTTTTGCATTCAGCAGTGCATTCTGTGAAAGTATCCCAGCCTCAATCAGGTTCTCTTGAATTGCTTTGGGCTTTCAGTTCTCTGTTTGAGCCAGCCTGGGAAACAAATGTCTGGGCTTGTTTCCCTCCGGTGGTTTGTACATTTCTTTAAACCTGTTAATGTTGATCTTTTATGTTGGATCTTTCAGATTGTAGACAAGCTGCCACATCTGTGATCAGAAAAAAGGTTGATTTTTGAATTTGTGAAATAATTTTCAAACTTAATTTGAGAACAGCTAGTACTTCAAACTTATTGGTCATGGAGGTTTCTGATCTTTTCTTTGGCCTTTAAGAGCCATCTAAATGGCTAATTTGTAGGAAGCTCACCCATGGTGCACATTCCTGTTGCAAGCTGTAATTTAGCAAGAGGCAGTTATAGCATTTTGAAACTCCTAAATGTTTCCCCCCCTCATTTGACCTTCCAGTGAAAGTGTGATATTCTGGAATCCTTGGAACACAACTCTCACCCCAAACTGGTCTGTTTTATTCTGTCAGCTAATACATACATGCATATACTTATTCCCAGCCACATAAGGAAACACATGCACTCACTCATGCACACAGACAGACAGACAGACACACAGATACAGAGGGGGGGAGTATTTTTGTAGTTGTGTAAACATTAAATCCTATTACAGTTTGAGTTGCTGACTTTCGCTTAAGTCCCACGCGGTAATAATGTACCACTTCCTGTTTTTCTGTTGCTGTATCTTCTTAACGAGAACTGTCCATTTTGGTAACCATATATGAAGGGAGGAGATTGTTCCTTTGGTGCGATTGCCAAAGGACTTTTGCATTATTATGATGGGAGAACAGGAGATCCCTGCTCAGCTACGGAAACTCATGGGGAAGGTAGAACTATAAAAAGCACTGCATATATCTCCTTTCCTTTGAAAGCCCTGTTGAGGTGACAGTGAGTTGGTTTTGACTTGGTGGCCCACAACACAAACACACACACAACGGTGAAGAGGGAAGGAGTAAAGATGAACCAAAAAACAGGAATGAAGAAGAGCAGGCCGCTGTGCCAGGCATTTGAAACGATGATCTGTGGGCAATGCCAAAGGCTGAGGCATTCTCAGGCAAAAGAATCAGGAACAGGGTGAAATGCCAGGCGTCTTATTTTTCCTGGGCATCTTTTGAGGGGCCGTGCTGGCTTTTTGATTTCTCTAGCCATCCCTTTCACCATACAACCATTTGGTCCTAAACTCTTGTCACCCACCAAAAGCCAAAGCAAGACCTTAATGGCTAAAACAGAACTCCACTGGCTTGTTGCTAAGAATGCTGTCATCGCAGCATCCTAGGCTTACCTAAGGAGCCTGGTTGCTATCTTATGTCATCGATCCTGGGCATCTGAGAGGGAAGAACAGCCTTGCTGGAAGGATGCCTCCATAAACCATCCCATCCGTCTTTCCTCTTGAGCGGCAATGTTTGACACATAGGGAGCCTTTGCACCTGACCGTTAAGAAAAGTCGGAATGATTGGGGCTTAATGGTCAATGAGAAATAACCCCACACCTGCTTTTACCCCTTTTAGTAATGAGTTTTCCTTCCCTTGCAGACTAGCAGGCCCTCATGGATGTTTCTGAAAGCCCTGAGCCAAACCCCCACTCTCCCAAGGTGAAGGAGGAGGAAGAGGAGGACGACCAGCAGCCGCTCTCTGACGACGAGCTCCTGAAAGAGAGCGGCTCAGAAGAGGATGAAGAGGATGGGCCGGGCACCAGTTTGGGGGAGAACGAAGGCCCCGCCGGGGTCTTGAGTGACGAGGAGGAGAACCGCTCAGACGAAGAGGACCACCTCAGCGAAACCAAGTCTCAGGACTCTGAGGGGAACGAGCCGAGTCATGAGCAGATGAAGGGCCCTCTCTCTGCCAGGGGAGAGGAGGAGGAGGAGGAGGAGGAGGAGGACCCGGCCAACGACCTGGGCGATGAAGCCTCCTCCGTCACCCGGGAACTCGACGAGCATGAGCTGGACTACGACGAGGAAGTTCCCGAGGAGCCCAGCGCAGTTCCTGCTGACGACGAGACCGATAAGGCTGGTGGAGAGGAGGAGGAGGAGGAAGAAGAGGAGAAGGGAGGAGAAGAACCCCCCAGGGATGAGAAGGCATCAGGTACCAAGAGCGAGGAGGACAAGGACGGGCAGGAGCCCGCCAAGGAGAAGAAGAAAGAGGAAGACGGAGAAATTGATGATGGCGAGATTGACGTAAGTTCATCCTCCCCCTGAAGCTTCAGAGGCAGAAGCTTTCCTTGGGTGGCCCCTCTCTCGCCTCGTGGTTCCCCTGGACGGAGGGAAAGGCCTCTCTTCAGTCACCTTTCCTCCAGGAAATGTCCCTTGAGGCTTCCCCCCCCCTCTCTTATTCTCTTTCTCTCTTGCTTCTTGTAGCAAGTAGCTTGATTGTGCGTGTGCATTGGACGGCTTGCATCCAGCCCGTTCCTGTACACTCAGAAATTTTGCCTTGTGAATTGCCTTCAACCCTACCTCCTCCTAGAAGGACCTGCCCTGGTTCCAGTTCTTTGGAGCTGGGCCGGATCAGAGCAGTCCAACTTCAGAAACACATGCTTTATCCAGAAACAGGATTTCTGTGTGAATTATATTCTTTGCACATTGTGAAACCACAATGCAAAACCAAACCTCTTGGCCTCTTGATGAAGACAGGATCTCTTGAGGAGGAAGTTAGAGCGTCCTGAGGGAGCCAGGCCAAGACAGCTTGTCTCTACTGCTAGCAGCTCAGCCACAGTGGGATTTCGTCAAATGGGAGGTGGGAGGGCAGCTTGGACCGCGGAAAGCCCTGGCCTCGCAGAGGCCAGGTGGTGCTCTGGGCTGTTGCCAGTGAGGGTGCTTTGGGAGGCCCTGGGAGTCAGGAGGCCAGCGTGGAAATGCAGGGAGACCTCTCGCCATCTGGAGCTACAGTGTGCTGCTGAAGACTCTGAGGGTTCTTGGCTGCGCCTGGTCTTGAAAAGCCTGCAAGAAAGACCGGACTTGTGGTGTGATTGCAGAGCTTGGTCCCTGAAGGCAAGGAAAGGGGTGTGTGTGTGGAATTGGGATGTCTCCACCTAGCCTCTGGAACACCGCTTTTGTCTGGAAACTGAAATAGTCGTCTACAAAGCCCTGTAGGCAACCAGGAGCATCTGAGATTGTGCGGCAGAAATCCTTTTACTCCCGGGAGAGGGCTGGAGCTGTTATGGTAAACATGGCAGGAGAGAAGGGATGGAAGGGCAGGCTGAACAGAGGAGAACAGAGCTGGACTTGCCAGCAGCCTGTGGGAGGGAAAGGCACAGCTTTTCCTGCCTGCCGGTTTTTAGTTGCCTCTTCCACGAGGCAACGGTGCAGAAAAGGCAGCACTCTGCATAGTAGAAGGTGCTCCCCCTCTGCCCCGTGGCAGCGTACCTGTCATGCAGCGTCCTTGAAAGAACTTACGATTGGAGTGGGCTTCTTGTTTTTGTTAGAATGTTTTAACTTGGCCTGTATCCAAAGTGTCAAAATAGCTTCAAAATAGTTTAATGTAAGCCCAGACTTTTAAGGCCTGCTTCCTTTGCCTTCTCATGGGAGAGACAAATGCTGTTTCATGCCAAGCCGTTGGCATTGTGATCTGACAAGCATCGCCTCTGTGGAGACCTGGGCAGAGGCCGGTCCTGCGACCATGTCCACCATGGCAGGCCCCACCTGCTGCATGGGCACTCCACTGCCCTTCCGCTTCTCCTCCCCTGCTCCAAAAGGTGCTGGAAATGAAACTTATGCCTGTAAAAATAGGCAGGCCATTCTTGAGGACCTGTTGCCATCAAATTTCCCATTGCCCCAAAGTGGTTTTGTCTGGCAAAAATGGTGAGCTCTTGCTTCAGGAAGCCTCTAAGAACAGCAATGCCCATTTTAAATAAATCATAACCCCCACCCATCCACACCCCTACACCAAAGGATCTCCACACTTCACACCAGGGCTGGACTTCTGGCCATTTCCATCCCCACCCCCATTTTGGATGGTCTTTGTAGCCCACAAACTAATTTAAAGTGTAAGCTCTCTAGCCTCTCCTCTGTTTTGATCTTTCTGACTGAGGAGTAGTGACAGCAATCCTTTAAAAAATCCAGGTTTTGCTCTTGCTCTCTGTCTCTCTCTTCCAGCAAATGGCTTTCCATATTCAGAGTGAAAAGTCAGAGAGCCCTGCCACGTTGGCATTCAGAGTTGTGCTTCCCAGATGAAAGGCCTGTCATGCGGGTGGTGGTGGTGGTGGTGGATGGGAATGTTGTGACAGCGAATGGCAAAATGGCTTTAACTTCCTCTCCAAAAGGTGACACAGGCTGCCTGTAAGCTTAATAGGGTGGAACCTCATCTGTGCCTTCGGCATCCTACAGCTTGACAAAGAGGAGGAGCCCAGCAATAAAGCGTCTCTCTGAGGTTGGGCATTGGAGTGGAAACAGCAGCAGCAGGAGGAGGTGGTGGAGGCATTGTTTCATCCCATGTTAACTTATCCTGGGGCAAAGTTACCTGCTTCCGAGTGCAAAGGCTTTTTAAAAAAAACTTTTAAAAACTTTACTTTAAAACAAAACAAAACCCAGTTTTTGACAGTGTCTTAAATCTGGTAGCGTCAGAGAAAGAGCGCTCTTTGTGTGTTTGTCAGTGAGCAAACAGCTGGGAAGTGAAAGGACCAGGTCTTGATCCCGGTTGTATGGAGCTTGCTGACTGGGCCTTCCCTGTGGCCCGAGCCTTTTCAGATTCCTCCCCGCAGGCAGCAGAGAAGGGCAGCGAGGCAAAGGGAGCAGTGGGAGAAATGGGGCTGGTGTCTGTCTCTTCTGGCCAGCCGACCCCTTCCCACCCTTCGCCTGCTGAGGAGCAAGGGGACAAGGTCGATGCCTGTCTCCATGATTTCCCATCATGTGGCTTCCTGGCCGCTTCAGTCATCGGGGATGAAGGTTTGCAGTGAACCTCTTCTTAGGCCGGTCTGTTGCGGTAGTAGCTTCTGCATTTGAAACTCCTGTCGTTCTCCCCCCTCCCCCCGCTCTCTTTCAGGATGACGATCTGGAAGAGGGAGAGGTGAAAGACCCCAGTGACAGGAAAATGAGGCCAAGGCTCACCTGCCGCTTCTTTGTGAAAGGTAGGGCTGAGCCTACATGGGTAGCTCTGTGGACGGAGGCCTCTCTCGTGTGCTCTCCTGGTGCGTGTGGCCTTTCTGCAGACAGCGTTACCTGGTGTAGCTTCTCCCTGTGATGTAGTTAACAGCAGATCAAAGGTTGTTGCAGGGAGCATTGCTAAAGGCTTTCCAACCTAATGCTGTAGGGACACCCTTGTTGGATCACACCCAGTTGAGTTCACGTAATTGTTATTGTGTCTCTATAAGTGGGCAGCGGTTCTTATTCTTCAGTCCGCCTGGTATTTGGGGCTTTGCCACGATTCCAGAGGGCCCACAAAGAAGGCAGAGGGAAGCAGCAGTCAACCATTTGACAGCTCTCAACATTTTGTGATCGACTGCCCTTGAATATGGAAGTTTTGTTCAGCTGCCATGGTTAGCAGGCATTTTTACCTGTTTGAATGCAACCTAGTTTCCTTCCAGCTGTCAGTGAGACAGTGAGTGACAAGTAGATGGTCTCCTCCTCTCTCTTTTATCTGTGATACTGGCTTTCATACTGCCCTGCATTACAAGTTGAATTTTGCAAAAAAAAATTTTTATGGATCTTAATTTTATCCTGCTGTTTTACTCTGCCATTCAAGTATCCCTGGAAAGGTTTTTCAGTATTTGCTTTGGAAGAATTGGCATGCACGCACCTACAAAAGCTGAAAAGATACCCTTCATGTTGTTGACAATCTAGTGTATCATCACTCTACAGTGGTGTTGTTTTTTTTTCGTCTCCCCCCCCCCCCCCCACTACAGGGCATTGCACTTGGGGCATGAACTGCCGGTTTATTCATCCTGGCGTGAACGACAAAGGCAACTACTCCTTGATCTCCAAGCCGGATCCTTTCCCACCCAATGGCGCGCCACCCATCGGTCCCGGTCCTCACCCTCTGATGCCGGCCAATCCTTGGGTATAGCCATAGCACTTATGAGAAAGAGGGGGGAAAGCCATTTTAGTTTAATCCATGATGCTGAGGTAGTTCCTGTACGTATCTGCCCTGCACATATGCCTTGTTCTGTAGCCTTTGCAAATAAGAAGAATGGCAATTAAAAGGATAAGAAGCAAAACATGAAGTACAGATATTCTGAGATGGATCCCTTTGGTGGGTTGTGTTACAAATCAAACACATTCACCCCCCATTGCAGCTGATATATAATTTTGAAAAACACCAGAAACATGAATTAATTTACCTGTTGTCACTATCGTGGAAGCCAAAGGTAAGTAGCCAAATAAGTAATCTATACTTTGGCGGAAACAGAACGTGGGTGTAAGGAGAATTCTGTGTGGCTGTTATTGTTGGTATCTTGCTGTTTTGCATTTCTGTCCCGTGGAAAAAGAAAACTCAAGCCAGCAGCTAGTGCATAATGAAAAACAGGAGGGAGAGAGAGAGAATAACAGAAAAGCAGTGAACTGCAATTATTTTAACTGGTTTTCAATTTTAGCCGTTTTTGCAGTTATTTGATCTGCTCTGTCCATTGTGCTTTATGTTGTGTGTGAACCGTCTTGAGCAGCACTCTGGTGGAATGGTGGTGTAGAGAGGTAGTAAATAAGTGATAAATAGCGATAGGTAAAACATTAAAATCCTAGTATCTAGTAAGAAGCATCCTAGTAGCAAAAAAAAGGTGTCAAAGGCCAGTAGGGAGAGTTGTGGTCTTGCTCCACCTCTTTGCCGGAAGAGTCGGCAGTGAGACCAGAAGGTGAAGGGCTGTCTCCTTACTCCAGGATGTTTCTTCCCACAGGGAGGGCCAGTTGTCGAAGAAATCTTGCCCCCACCACCGCCGGAGCCTCCAACCGAAAGCGCCTGGGAGCGAGGACTCCGTAACGCAAAAGAGGTAAAGAGGCTGTTGGAGAGCAAAGCGAAAGCAGAAGAGTTTTCTGTTTTTGCAGGAGATTCACAGAGCCTCCCAAGCTGTAGGCTTGGTGGCTGAGGGTCGTGTGCCCTCTTTTCCTTCACCACCCATTTACTAAGGGAGGAAAGGAGAAGCTCCCGGTTGTGGACCACCGCAGAGTTTCTCCTGCTGGGTCAGAACTGGAATTTCCATCAACAAATGGATGAAGGTGAGAAGAAGGGAAATTCAGGCTTTCAAAAAAACGTCCTGCTGTTAGGAGCGGCTTGGTAGAGGAACAGATCCCCTTAGAAGGGCATGAGCGCTCCTTCCTTGGGAGGTTTCGAAACAAAAAGTGTGTGTCCCTCTGTCAGGGATGCTTCCTCACGGATGCCTCTGCTGGCAGAAGGCTGGGCCCGATGGCCTTTCGGAGCCTTTCCAGCCATTTGGTTTTGTGATTCCGTTCATGGCTGCTTCGGACCTCAGGTGTCTCACCCCCTCTCTTTCCACACTGAAGGCCGGGAGGGTTAGTGGGGGGGCAGACCCTTGGCCTACCTTGCAAGGTCATATTTACTCAACCTGGCAGCCACACTCCCAGGCTGCTGTGGTGACCCTTCCTAGCCTGGGGTCTTGTGATTCTTTCATTGAAAGCACTGCAGATAGGACTTGTTTGCATGGGAAGCATCAGGCACCCTGCCGCTGAGTGACACCCTGTATTAATAAGGAAGTGATTTTCCCAGTGACGCGTAAATGTGTTCCAGATTAGGTGCAGCGATCTCTTTCATTGAGAGCAATTTCCGTAGGAAATCCTGTCTAAATATTAGCTCAACTAACGAAGTGCCATGTATGTTTCTAAAAAAAGGGCCTGAGGTTGCTGCACAGCTTATGCTTCAAAACATGATGAGGCAAAAGCTACGTCATCTGTATGCTAATATCACTTGTCTTCCAGTCCCCATGGGGTCACTGTGGTGTGCGCAGCCACAGCACGTGATGGTACATGGCGTGCCTGCATGGCTGAACCAGGAGGTGCTGCCCCACGTTCCATAACCATGCATGGGACAATAAAAGCAGATCTGTGTACGTCGAAATGATGTATTTAGAAGCATGGAGTCTGACGATTGGAAGTCTTACAGGACCAACCAGCAAGCAGGGACAGAGCGAGGGAACATAACGTTCTAATGCTAAAGCACCAGCCCAAGAACAACGGGTGTTTTTGAGGTGTTGACGTATATGTTGTTTACATCACTGGTGGTGTTTTTTTGTAAGCTTGGAATAATTATGAGGAAAGAAAAACTTCATCAAGATCAGCAGATGGGGACTAAGACAGAGATCTTAAGAAAACGTTTTTTCTAAAAAGTGTGCTTAAAACACTCTGCTTGCATTTTGAAGAAAAAAAAAACCGTTGTGAGACCCTCATCCAGATTAGGATTCCTTACCTGTTTCCTGCCAAAAAAAAGCCACATGCACCCACCTGCAGCAGGCCACTGCCACTTCATTTATTTGTTCATTTATTAAACTTTTAAAAACCTGTCCTGTAAACAGTCCTCGAGGCGGAACAAAGAGCAGCTGACGACTCCTGTTCCTCTCGCCCTCCTAGGTCTTGAAAAAGGCCACCATGAGGAAAGAGCAGGAGCCTGACTTTGAGGAGAAGCGGTTTACAGTGACCATCGGGGAAGACGAGCGCGAATTTGACAAAGAGAATGAATTTTTCCGGGACTGGAACTATCGCATCACTCGAGATGTCCGGGAATCAACGTAAGGTTCTGCCTCGCGCAGCCAAGCAAAAGGGAAACTAGCAGTGCCGGCTCCTCTTGTAGTCAGGAGTGTGGGGGGGGGCGTCCGTGTCCCTCAACACTGGCTGAGTTGGGCTGGGGTGATGGAAGGTGATTGCCCTCAAAGTGGGGAGGGTGCGAAGGCTCCCCCCTGCTCCAAATGCCCACCCTTCCTGAGCTTTCTTCTGCAGATCATGCAGCCGTCCACTAGGGGGCAGTGTTGGCTTTCCCAGAAGCCTCGGCCTTTTGAGAGCCCTTCCTTCACCCAGCAGGGTTGCACATGTCCTGTGGGGTAGCTGCGTGGTTTTTTATCTACTGCAGAACCATCCTTTGAAAACATCTGTATGCCTTCCTTTTGTCAGTGCCTTGAGTGGGAGTAAAACAGACGTGCTCTCTGCTCCCGGTGCACAAGCCACCCCCTGTATCTGTTTCACTTCTAGGGCCAGGGAGCTGCCAGTATTATCCCACTGCAAGGTCTGCCCCATTGTTTAGAAAGTAGGTCAGGTGAACCTCCTTGGAGCGCCAGCAACTCCCACTGGCGCAGTGTGTGTACGAATCACAGCCTTGGTTGGCATGGCAGCTGGCCCCAGCCTTTCGTGAATCAGCCCTTCAAAGATCTCCCTCTTTGACCCTATTTAGTGTGGGCTGCACCCTGCCACCCCCACCCCCACCCGGGCACTGCAGCCTCCTCACAGGACCCAGTGAGATGGAGCGGTGACCTCAAGATGGGACAGGGTCTCCTCTTTGTGTTCCAGACGGCACCCTCTGTGAGCGCAGGTTTTGGCGTGAAAATCTCCATCAAAAGAATATATAAATATACATTTTTAAAAAAACATCAAAATCAGATTTTTACTTGAAAACTGGGTTCTGTTTGGAAACTGCTACATCTGGAAGCCTCGAGGGACAGAAAAGAAATGGTTTTGTCCTTCCTCTGTGTTTCCTTACAAACCACTTTTTTTGCACTCGTAGGGCGTGGGGGTGATGTGCTTAGAAGGATGCAAGAGTGTCTTTGAAAGGCTGGTTGCCTCCCAAGGCCCCACACTTGGCTCACTGGAACAATTTTTTTTTTTTTTTTTTTTGGGGCTGTGGTCCCAAATCTAAAAAACTCCCTCCCAGCCAGTTTGGGTCTCGCCCTTTCCGCCCTGGGCTTGAGGAGGCCTTGGAACTGCAGGGCATCCCTTCAAGTCTGGCTTTGATTCCAGTTATCAGCCGATCAGCTTGGTTAAGTGGTTTCGGAGTGCCTCTTAGGATGTGGTCCCCTGCAATGAGCACCTCACTTCCCACTTCCTTTCTGCATCTCTTTGGGAGAGCCGAGCTGCAGGCCTTTGCTGTTTTATTGCCGATGAATATCTCTGTGTCAGCCTAGGGTTCAGAGGCATTTGTGGACTATGTCTGCCCCAAGTTCTTTGTAGAAAGGGTGCTGGGGACTAATTGTTCTGCTTTATAGCCTCTTAGTCCTCTGTGTGTGTGTGTTTTAAAATTAAAACAATTTTTAGAGGGGTTTCTAGCCTGGTGGTTGCCACGTGATGTAACTGCCCTCAAGTCATCCTGCTGGGGACTCCAGTTTTCAAATCTTGGAATAATGTTCCACAAGACTCCCCATCGCTGCCTTTCCTCATAGAGCTAAACATTTTAAAACCAGTTCGATCTTGCATTCAGATTACTTTATGATGTGTGAAGATGGTTGACCAGTTCATAAATCTCCTCTCTTTCCCCCAATCCCGCTTTCTTGGAAAAACTCCAGTGAGGTGGACATCAAAGAGAACATTAACTACGGGTAAGCAGTCTGTAATCTCCCTTGTATTTACAGCTGGGCTCTGTTGCTTTCATTTTGATCCCTTGCAATTCTTAGGCATTCTTAGATCAGTCACCCGCCGTTGCATAAGGCTTGGCTTCCAGTGGGCCAGTTCTTACTGGCACCCATTCTGGTTTAGAGGTTGCCAGCTGTTGGTTGAGTCTTATAAACGTTTACTACAAATGCAATGCTCTTAAGCAACCGGGCACAGCTAGGGGTTGAGACCAATGGCGGGCGTTTTTTTGGTGGCATTCCTCCTAGGAAGGCTTTGTGCAAAACAGCCGCTGTAGCGGCATCCCGATGCCTTTGTTCTCTCTTTGGCGTTCTCTCCTAAATAACTGGGATCGCAAGAGTCAGAGCCTCCCTCTTTCATAGAACATTGTTATCGTTCTAAGTTTTCTAAATGACGTGTTTGTATTCTTAAAAGTGTTTTTGTTATTTGCTGATGTTTGGGTTATTGTTTTTATGTGTAAACCTCCTTGAGTAGTGTTGGATACTATGGAAGGAAGGAAGGAAGGAAGGTCGCTTTGCAGCACAACTGTAGCCATTTCAGCCTTTAACCCCAAAGCTGTCTTTACTTGGACCATAACAGACTTGCTATTAATGGGTTTTTGTCTTAAGTTGGTCTGCTCTTGACCGTGAAGACAGCCTAAGGCTGCCTCTTGCAGATCTTTTCTGATCTCCAGCTTATCCCCACCCCATTGTTTTCAGTGGGGCTTATACATGCACAAGCGCAGACAGGATACCTCCTGGCGTAAGCCTTGGAAAAGCTGTGCATGCCCGGTGCATTCTGGCCCTGGCTTTGAGTTGACAAACACCGGGATTCAATGTTTGTCCGAAGTGAGTACCATCATTCCGAAGCAAGAAGGATCTTCCGTGTCGAGGTGACGTGTGCATGTGTCAGAGGAGGCCTCCTCCCGAGGCATTCCCTCCTCTGAGAGAAAAGAGGGTTCAGCATCTTTTTTCAGAGGCACTTTTAAAAAAAGCCTTGGTGCCTGATTAATTGGAAAACACCCTTTGAAGTTCCCCTCAGGATGCCTCTGAGTGGATCAGTTGATCAGATGTCAACCTTGCTTCGTAAATCCCGAGGAATGGAGGTCACTGCTGATGTCTGCCAAACAAGCGCTGTGTCTGGTTCCACCCTCCTCCTCCTCCTCCTCCTCTTTTTCCATAGCCAACACCAGGCCTTGCCTGCAGGCTTGGAGATACCCAGTCTCTCTCCCCCCCCCCCCCCAATACTTTAACGAGTCCCTTGGCACTTTTCTGAGTTTTGTCCAGTGGTCAAGGAAATCCCAATTCCAGCTGCCGTGTTTTCTTACCGGCCTTGCTTGTGCGCAGGCTTGCCTGGTGTGTATCAAACGATCACAGCCCTTTAGTGCCGAACATACCGCTGTAGCCTCCTGATCTTTTTCCTCCAGGGCATGAGTGCCCTGGCATTCTACAACATGGGAGCCACACCCGCCGGGTCTGGGCCTCTGTCCAGAGGCAGTAGTGGGAGCTGAGGGAAAGCAAGTCTTGCTAAGCAGAAGTTTCCGTATTAATCTGTTGCAACAGAAATAACAAGGAAGACCCTAAAGGCCGAGAAGTTTTGTGTCTCATTGGCTTTCATAAGCTGCAGCCGAGTGGGCTGCAAGGCACAAAACCTCATCTGGCCAAACCATGCTACCCTTTAAGGTGCTCTAAGGTGTCTTATTGTTGAAGCAATGGTGGTTGACCTGGTTGGGCCTTGAGCTGACCACACAAACGAGAGGTTACGGTTGTCTTGCCCCTGTGACTTTTCCAATCAATTCTGGGAGGTTGGCTTTCGGTTTTGCTTGTAAGCGCTGGTGGTGGTTGAATAGGGTGTTTCTGCTGCCGTTGGTGGGGACGTTATGCAGTGTTGCTCCCATCAGACAATTCCCTCCTTTTTGAAACCTCTGCAGGGCCGACCCTTACACGGATCCTTATTACGATTATGAAATAGAGCGCTTCTGGCGAGGTGGGCAGTATGAGAACTTCAGGGTACAGTACACAGATCCGGATCCATATCGGAACTACAGACTAAGTAAGGTCAGTATAATGCTCCCTCCGGGGCTGTTGTCCTTTGGCTGCCTCAGCCCCTTGAAGGTTCCAGAGAACCACTTGGGCGCCAGCGTACAGTCCTCCACTCCGTTCATCTGCTGTCTGAGTATAGCATATGCATCACTTTTGCATCTGCATAGTCAGAGCTTGAAAGGTGACTTTTTTGCGGGGGGGGGGATAATAATTTGCTCCCATTACTGAGACTGTCGGAAAAGTAACCTACTGTCATTACTTGTTGCAATGTGTGAAAACGGAACTCTTTACATTATGTGTTGGATGCTTCCTGCTTTTCTGTTAGTTTCCATTACAGTAAAAAAAAAAAAAAAGCCCGGCTTAAGAGATGGGCCCAAAACTTTTGAGAATTTCCTGCCAAGATGTCTTTAAAATGCCCTCTCTAAGTAACTGTGAAGCATGTACTCATTAGATCAGTAAAGTAACTTTGTTCCTTGTTGTTCTGCCGCTTTTGAAATGTAAATTTGCTATTCCCGAAAAAGTAACTAGTTACAGATGGCAGCCTGTCCTGCCTGCAACCAGTAACATCTGAAATGCAGAGCCAACCCTTAGTCCTGGTCTGGGGAGTAATCACAGACACACACCCCTTCTTGTGCCACGGAGGGCCCATCTATTCTCGGGCAAAGAGAGAGGCACCACCAAGCCACGCTCGTCAGTTTTCCAGACTGATCCTTTTGTCTGATGAGAAGCCAGTGGCCTTAATTTTCCAGGGTGCTCTCTCCCACGACGGGTGGCTAAAGGGATGAGCTTTAAACACCCTTTCGTCTGCTCAGAAGACATCCAGCAACACACACACACACACGGGGCAGAAGAGCAGTCCTCATGTTGTTTTTTTATCTTTGCTTCGAAAGGAAAGGGAGAGAGAACGGGAAAGAGAGAACCGACAGCGCGAGCGGGAGCGAGAACGGGAGCGAGAACGGGAGCGTGAGCGGCGGCAACGAGAGCGGGAAAGGGAAAGGGAACGGGAGCGCGACAAGGAGCGCCAGCGGCGGAAAGAGGAGTGGGAGCGCGAAAGGGAGCGGATCAAGAGGGACGAGAAGGACCGCCAGCACCGAGACCGGGACCGCGAGAAAGAGCGAGAGAAGGAAAAAGAGAAGGCCAAGCCCCGATCCCCGCAGCCAGCAAGGTACGGGCTGCCCTTTCCCTTTCATGCGGCCGATGCTCTGCCAGGGAGGATGCGAGGTTTGATCCTCGCAGGCCGGCGCCCCAGAGGGGTTGAGGGTGCAGAGTGGAGGGCTTCGTTTGTTTTTAGCAGCATATCTACATAGACCTCCAGCAGGTTATGAGGAAATAGCAGACAAAGGAGTAAAATATGCTCTGTTGAGCACCTCTGAGATAGTTCCCAAGGAGCTAATCCTGTGGACATTATTTCTTCAATTTTGCTTGCATTGGGTTTTTTTTCCCTTTTTCTGGGTCATTTGTTTATCTAACCTATAGTCTTTTTCTTTTCTTTTATCTATAAACACATACTTTTTTTCCCTTGGGGTCAGGACCGCAAGCGCTGCCCACCGCACACCTGCTTCCTCAGCCCCTCTCTGGCATCTTTTACCCTCTTGGTTTCACTGCTGGCCTCGTTGGCTTGGCCTTTGGCCGCCTGAGGGCGCTACCATGAAAGTGTCCTGTGTCCCAGCTGCTCCGCAAGGCCCCTTATGTAAATTACCCAACTGATGAATAACCAGGTGGAGTAACTTGGGAGTAAGACTGAGATGGCCATGGATTGCTAAAAGCCAAGTTTCCCCGGCTCCCCAGTGGATGTTCTGGCAAAGCCAGGTCAGTTTCCAGTTGCAAGGAAGTGGATGCTTCTCTTTCTGAAGTATTCGGGGGCAGGCATTCCATGCTTGCTAGGAGTAGATCAGCATCATTTCACCTTGTTGCCTCACCAGGTGCCAAAAACCAACCATGTGATCCACTCCTACCTGCCAAGGCTGAGGTTGGGCAATCCTTTTATCGGATCGCTAAACAGGTACCAAGGAGATGAGTTCTCAACATCTCTTTGGAACTCGTCATCGGGCAACGGTGATACAGAACTTGGGGTTAAGGCAGATCATTCCAAATGTGAGCCGGATGTTCTGCCCACGGCTCAGGAAGCCAGACTGCCCCTGGGGAGAACCTCTGGCTCAAACTTGGAACTTTTGGCCTCCACCCAGACACCCCTTGCCACCCACCCGCTCCCAAGATCTGCACCACCTTTGCCAGCTAAAGAGTTCTGGAAAGCTCCTCTTACTCTTTTAGTGACCTAATAAAGGTATTGCCCTGCCTCGTGGCTGTATTCTCCCTTTATCATCAATAGCAGAAAGAGTTTTAAAGGGAACTATCAGAGCCCTTCTGGGCCAAAAGCATGTAAAGAACAACTCAGGAAGAGGCCACCTTTCTGTCTGCAGCATAATTCATCACTTTTATTTGTAAACCTGTGCAGATTTGAGAAATGGCAGATGTGAGAAGTTTGCTGTGTGTGCTTTTAAAATGAATTGTTATTTTTACTGATGCTGTATCACTTATTCATGATTAATTGGTTGCTACTCCTTAACCAGTAGCTGACACCCTTAGCTGTGACCCTTCTGGTCAGGAAAACAAGGGCCTTGCTTTATTTTTCCTCCAGCCTCCGTCAAGTTCCAATTATAACATTTCTAATTATAGATCTCAATTTAGCCTTCAAAGAAGTGAACAGTCTGGCCGTTTGTTTAATGTGTTCTTCTGAAATTCTTTGTGCTAAACCTGCCAGCTTCATCCTTTCCGTGGGAGTAACTTAGCGTGCAGTGAGTTTATTTATAGACTCCTGTGCTTTCCCTAATTGTTGGCACTTGGCTCAGCTCTCGGCAACTCCAGCCTCTTGCGTCGTCTTGGGCTGACGCCGGCCGGGTGTTCATGTGACTGGCTGAAGTCTCCCCATCTGAAGGGCCTGTTCTGGCAGGAAGCTCCTGTGGGCACTAGCAAAACAGGTTAAACCAGGGGCGGTGGGAGCCGTGAGACCCAAGGGAGGCGCGTGGCGAGGGGACACAGCTCAGGAACCACCAGCAGCCTCCCCAGAGGGTCACCCCTTTCTCCAAGGCTGTTCTCTGTCTTTCACGTGCATGGAGTTTGCAGGGGGCCCCACTGCCCCAATTTAATCCCCACTGAGTGATTCCCCACCATCACCAAGCCTACACCCCCAAACTGGATGTGAGCTTCTAGCCTCATCTGATTTATTTCTCTTTGGGCTTGGCCCCTTTTTGTGGCCTGCATGACTGGAGAAAAGGAGTGAGCAAGAAACACCTTGTGACCCACAAGCTGACCCTGCTGTGCCTGGGCAGGTCCTGGCCTTTTGGTCCAGCAGAGTAACGTTCCTAAACTCACTCCTCCAACCCTTGCGGAGACTCGGAGACTGATTTCGGAATTCAGACCATTGGGGCTCAGCCTCAGGTGAGCGCCTGCAGTGGCCAGGGTGCCCTTGGCCTTTCCCCGTATGGCGTGTGCTGGTCTGGGCGTTGTCGTAGCTGGCCCCTGGGCTAAAATCCAAAAATGATGCACAAGCTTCTGAACTTTCCTAGAAGGGTTTTGTCTTGTTAATTTTTGTCTGTTCGTTTAGTCAAAGGTGTTTTGATGTTTTCCTAGCTGGGAAGAAGAGGCAGATGAAACCATTCTTAGGCAGGTTACTAGTTTCCTCCTGTGCCGAGTTGAGGGGAGCAAGGTGTGTGTTTTATGCCATCTGGCATTTCAGACCCTGCCATCGCTTCCAGGACCACATCAGTGGAGGCTCTCCTTGCCAGTGGGGAAAAAAAGAAGGGTCTGCCGTGTGGGAAGGAAGGAGGTGTAATTGCCAGGCAGGGATACAGAAGGTCTCAGATTCAGTGTCTCAGGGCTAGAACAGGCCGGGTCTCAGGGCCTGGTGCAGCTGCCAGTTGCCAGTTCAGGGCAGTTCTTGGCCCGAGGGACCAGCTGTCTGGTCCAGTCGCTAGCCAGCACACCGCCCACCATCAGACACAGGGAGGGGGCGTCTTCCTGCAAGGGGAAGGACTGGTGTCCTCCCTGCCTTGGGTGATGAGCCACCGGTGGCACCTATGCCACTCTTCCATCGCTTGAGGTTTTCAAGGGGTCCTTGTTCTTTGCAGATCATCATATCTTCCATTTTGCATCGTTAAACGTTGTAGGGGTGTGTGCTTGTGCACGCGCATACACATGCACGCATCCAGCATCCTTTGCTGCTTAGAGGAAAGGTGCTAAGTAATGGGGGAATTCCCTGTGTCGTCTGTATCCCTTCAGAGAACGAGAGCCCACACACCAGGAAAGGCTGTGAGGCCACGTGGCTCCTCTCCACCATGGGAAAGATGCCTCCCCAGAAGTTCAGCTTAACTCTAGGGGGAGGAGGTGGTGGTGGTGGGGAGGAGGAATCTCTCTTCTCTCCCCAACCACTGAACAGGAACCGGACGCAGCGGGATGGGCAAGGGCGAGAGAAGGAGGGCTTAGAAGTGCACAAGAGAATTTTCAGGTATGTGTTCAAGGCAGTAGCTCAGTGTGCAGGAAGGCTGCCAAGGTGATTCAGAGCTAAAGAAGGAGAGGTGTGTTTTTTTTTTAAAAGCACCAGTATTCCCTTTTCAGTTCACCTTGCATCCCGCAGTGATGACATCTCAAGCCAGTTCTTTGGTCGCATTATGATCTATTTATTGGAAGATAATCTCTGCTAATCTAGGGATGATGCAACACTGTGCAGAAACCCAATTTGAAAACAGCTTTGTTTGTCCCAGGCTTGCGTTCTGCCCATCCGTTTCAGTCAGCCCCGTACGGTGAAATAGCCACTCTGAAATCCTCGTGGTTTTGTTTGCCCACCTGCTGTAGGAAACTACCTTCCCCCAGGTTTGGCTTTCTGTCTGTTGGGCCCAGCCTTGTCTGTCCTGGCTGAGGATAGCAGAGGAAGGCCTTGCCACGTTTCTGTTTAGCTTTCCAACATTTGCATGTGCAGCTTGCTAAAAAATATTTTGTCAGCTAGGTTCTTCTGGGGGACCGGTTTGCAAGGCAGGCCTGGTGCCCCTTGAGCGAGGACGCTTTCTGCCTTCTCCTGATGGGCCTCCTATCAGTCTGTCAGCCCTGAGGTGGCAGAATAGGCTTTGGAAGCTGGGGAGGATTCATAGCAAGATTGCTTGCTGACCATGGTTCAGCAAGGAACTCCATGGAGCAGAACATCTGTTGGAGGTTCTCTGTCTCCTCCATCATCTTTCCGCATCTTAAAGGCAAATGCAGCTCTCTGGGCTGTCCGTGTTGGCTTTTTCCTCCACCTGCAGCCTTATTCTCTTGGACACGTGTGGATAAAGGGAAGCCTTCCAGAAGTTGTTAGGCTGCAGCTTCCATCGGCCGTGGCCAGCGCTAGCCAACGAGAGTCCACTAGCCGTCTGGAGGGCCAAACGTTGCCCGCAGAAGGGTGTGTCTTGACGGTGCCTCTGCCTCCAGCTAGCACGCCTGGTTGTCAGCCAGAGAGCCTTCAACACATCCCTGTGGAGTAAACGGGAAAGTGTTAGAATCAGCTCTGCTGCCGGAAGGGAGTGGCAGCAATCCCTGTAATTTCATGACTGCCCTTGCACACAGACAGAACTGCGACCTTGCGAGAGCAGGATTTAGCAAGCCCAAGTGTATGCAATTCTTGCGATTCCTTGAGTGTTCTGAGTCCCCTCTTGATTAGTCACATGGTGGCCTTCATTGGTCCAGGCTGGGGTTTTTTTCCCTATTGCATGATACCAAGTAATATCCTTAACTACAGGAAATACTGGGCTGTAGTGAGTAACCATCCTTTTTTCATGTACTGTATTTCACAAGAGACTGGGCTGGTACCCAGCTCTCACATAACAGCTTTTTAGTTTCAGAGACGGAATTATCCAGTCTTGCAAGGTCCATTTACGTTGGCCTGGAGATGCGCCATGTTCATGCTTTGTTTGACCTCCCCTCTGCCTTAGCCCTCTCATCCTGCTCGATGGCTCTCTGAGATAGATGACAAGATAAAGCTGGCAGACAGTACTCAGCTCTTACGTAATGCCAAATCAGGTGTCAGCTAAAACCTCATTCAGCTTAAAAACAGCGAGCCTAAACAAAAGGGTGAAAGAAATTGGGCATTACGTGTCAGAAGGTGTCTCTTGATCTCAGTGTGGAGACCTGCTTGGCCCCAAGGTGACATTTAATTACACATACTTATAGTGAATTAATTAGGCTTAATACACCGTTCCGTTGACCAGTCCGATGCTGCCAGTGGTCTGCTGTTAATCAAATTATGTATCAATTTTCCCATTAAGCCATGATACTGAGGATGCTTTGAGATTGGCCTGCTGTCTGCTTAGTACAACTCCCTTGAAAACCTGAAATTCTTTTTGTCTTAATAGTTCCTGTTATCTTTTCTTTATTCCTTTTTTAATGTTGTTACTGGTGTTTGGTCTTCATGGTCCTTAAGACCCTCATGTTCATCAGTGGATTTTTCCCATTATTATTATTATTATTAAGAAATCTGTCTTAGCCTTACTAGAACTCTGCTTAGCCTAATACAACAACGCAGTTTCTTTCTTCATATACTTCTAGGTGGACATTTAGGGCATGGCCCTGATGAGGTGGCTTAAATTGACAAACAAAAAATTTTAAAATGCAATTAAAAGCAAATAGTTTTAAGGCAATTACAGTGTGAACAACTTAAAAAAAACAATGTTGGTGCCCACATATTTTGACAAAACTGTCCTCCAATAGGCAGTTCAGCAGTGTGTAAAACAGGGACGGTTAAAAACTTGAGGGAAAAATGCCCCCAGGGATATATGCATTTTTACACGTGAGTGTAGCTGTAACGCTTATTAGGGCTGCCTAAAAAAATCACTAAATTCTAAGCTGGTTTTCCTCTGGCTGAGTGTTAAAACAGAGGTAACAAACAGAGAAACCTCGGATGGATGGGAAGAGCAGATCCCAGTCCTGGGGGAACCTGCTTTGTTTGCCTGCAGGTGCTCTTCTTTAGAGGTCAAACCTGGAACCTTTTTTCCAGGCAAATCGAGCTCTCCTTTTTGCCAGATCCAAAAAACCTGTCGGCACCAAAGCCACCCCGGGGCAGAGGAGGCCCTGTTGACCCCCACCCACCCAGGTCCGGCATCCATCTGAGGGGAACAGTGCTTGGGGTGATACAGATGCTCGCTGGTCATTTTGTGACTTGAGGTGGTTTGAAATCAAAATGCTAACCCCGGGCTGCCGATTTGTTTTCTCTCTCCCCTGGATCGGATCAACCCCAGTCTGGATTTCAAAGACACCACTTGACATTTTTAAAGGCCACCTTTTATCAGACCCAGAGGGATGTGTGTCCAGAATGCTACCTTGAATGTTTAAATCGGGCGTCGGTTGAGCAACCCACTTCCAGGTCTTTCATTTCCTGTTGTCAATCCTGGGAAATTTGGAGTGATGTCATTGTGTCACCTTTCTTAATTTTTTTTTTTTAGATATATTTTTAGACTTCCTTCCTAGCTGGACTTCCTGCCTTCTGAAGTGGAGTGTTGTCTTAACCCTTGTCAGGGGCTGTGCAGACACTGAGCTTTCCTGCCCGATAAGATTAGCCCGGATTGCTTATGTCACACACGGAGCATTGGAGGGGGGGGAGACGTTTTCCCCCAGCGGAAGATCATTTCTCAGGCTACGTAACAGAATTGCGTGGTCCTTTGCATTAAAACATTCCTAGGGTTTTTTCTCTCTCGCTCTTCCTCGCTCTTTCATTCGGTGCCCTGGCACAGGTCCAGATTTATCTTCTTGGTTTCCTCCTGAAACGAAGCAGCCTGCCAGAACAAAGCGTGATTTGTTTGTGGCAGATTTCCAAAGCAAATGCAGCATTGCTGTAATGCAAGAGCCTTCTAGCTGAAACAGTTTCCTTAGGGAAACTGTTTTTGCACGATGGCCAAATTCCTGTCGCAGGAAGTTGCACTAGAGTAGGCCCGTTGAATTTGTGGGGATTGGCGAGTCAGCTTCTTCATCAGTTCCATTGATCCACTTCGGCCTAATGTAGTCATGACTTCCTATTAAGTCACGTGACTTGGAGCAGGCCTGTTCAAACCAATGGAACATACAGACTCCCCATATTCCCACGGATTCAGTGGGCCTGCTCTAGTGCAACTTCCAGCCTGTGCGTTTCACCTTTTTTTTCCCTACAGTGTACAGATGGATATTTGACAGTTTACCTTTATAAGTAGAGGGCTTGTACACACATGATCCAGTGTGGGAATGTGAGCCCTCTGGAATCTAGGAAGCAGCAGATCCTTGAAGGCTGTTGAAAACCGACAGGCTTGAATTGGACAGAGGCAGGGACTGGGCTCGAAGTTGTTGGAAGGGGTGGGTGGCGGTTCATCACCGCAGTGCCCTCCGCCTCCATCCCGCTGGACTTTCACTTTGCTGTAGCTGATAAAGTAAGAGTTCCCCGGCCAAGGGCCAAAAAGTTCTGTGTATCCCGTCAAGCTCTCCACGACAGAGCGTTATCTGGGTGTGCTGATCTCTTCCAACCGAGAAGAACTTCATTCATGCAGCTCTTTTGTTCTTTTGTGTCCGTTGTGAAAGTGAAGGATAAAAAAAAGAGAGAGAGAGATTCCACTACCTTGGTTAAAAGCATAAAGCTTGTCATCTGTAGAATTCCCTGGGGTTATCTTGAGCAATAAAAAAATCACCCTGGGCAAGGGCCACATTATTTCCTTCTCTGTGGTGCCCATTTGCTTGCAAAGCACCTCACCGGAAAGTTTCCCGTTTTCCAGAGCATTGCCTGGCACGGCTAGGTCTGAATCGCAGCCAGGATTGGTAAAAACATGTTAACAGTGTGGTGTGAAATAAAAGAGTCCCTTTCAGACTTTTTTTTAAATGGTGGGCAGCTGCGTTACTGTGTGGTGACATAGATAGGCAAAAGGTTTCTGGCACTTTTATCCCTAACCAGCTTTATTTGGCACTTGGTTGTTTTTATGTGCCATCAGGTTTCCCACAACCTACGGCGACCCCATGAATGAGCTATTTCCAAACATGCCCTTCTCCTCAGCTGCCCGCCTCAGCTCTTGTAGACTCAAGCCTGTGTCTTCCTTTAAGGGGGTCAATCCATCTCGTATTTGGCCCTCCTCGTTTCCTACTGCCTTCCACCTTTCCTAGCGTGATGGTCTTTTCCAGAGAATCCAGCCTTCTCGGGAGATGCCCAAAGGAGGACAGCCTCAGTTTCAAGTCAGGCTTGATTTGATCTAGGACCTACTTGTTGATCTTTCTGGAGATCCAGAGTATCCACAAAGCTCTCCTCCATCACAATATTTCAAACAAATCATTTTCCCCCTTCCGCTTTCTTTACTATCCAGCTTTTACACCCATACAGGGTAATTGGAAATACAATCATTTGGCATGAGCTTTTGGAAGGAGCAGCCCATTTCCTGGAGAAATAGAGGGAAGACAGCCTGCTGTCCGTGAAAGCTGTTGTCAAATAAAACTTTATAGCCTTGACGGGCCTCAAAGGCTCTGTGTTGGCTTTTCAGGCAGTATCACTACGTGGTATTAAGAAGCCACGAAAAGTTGCTCGGTGTGGGGGTGGGTTGAGAGGAGTGTTTTGAGAAATGGCAGTGAAGTTGTCCTTTGCTGGCCTGCTTCTCTCGTGGTGCTGAGATTTCCCTGACTAGAGCAAACTCAATGCTTATCTTTGCCCTTTCGAGCCGATGTGAAGATTCCACGCTCCCTGTCTTTCCAGCAGCAGGGCGGGTTGCATTCCATCGCCCTCCCAGTGAAGTTGTGTGGGTATCTGATTGGAAGCTGCCTGTGCCCTAGTTCCCTCCAGGCCGAGTGACTGCAGAGGTCTCCGTTTGGCCCGCACTCCGTTGAAAAGAGAGCTCCTTTTTTCCCCAGTTTTCCCGAAGGGCTAGAGGAATCGGCGCCCGCTGCCCACAGGAACAGCCCCGCTCAGCAAAGCCATTGGGTGCCTTTGGCTTTGAATCGGCTACAATCACATGCAAATTGAATTCTGTGTTCCGTTTGAAGTTTGGGTCCTGGAAATGGCCTTCCCTGACCTTTTCCCCTCCCAATGTGTTGGGCTGGTATCCCTCTCGTCGCAGGCCGTGCGATGGGACTTGTAAGACAGCCTGTATATGGAGGGAGGGCAGCCCTCACCCCCCCATAGGGAAAGGCTAGTTTGGGGCTTCGAAAGCCGTCCTGTCTTAAGGATGATGGTTGCCCATCTGAGATTGTCCTGCGTCAAAAGATCCGTTTTGCATCCCACCCACACAGGAGGCTGCCTTGCTGGCGGGTCTGTCGGGGACCTTTCTTCCTGCTCTGGGATGTCTCTTAAATACATTAACAGGTTTACGTTGCGCTTCATGTGATCTTTGGCTGTTGACTTTTAATTGTTTGTTATTGCAGTTGGTTCGCGGCTTGGGTCATGCTTTGTGGAAAGGTAGACGGTAAACTTTATAGGGAAAAAAATAAACATCTATTTCAACGTTTACTGTGGAGTTATTTCCTTCTTTAAAAAAATATTGTTGTAGAATTCTTCAGATGACTTCTGCTTCTCACTTCCATTGCTATTTTTCCTCTATACGTATTGTTTTTTTAAACTAAATCATAGCTGTTGTTTCTCTTTTGTAATCCACTTTGAATTCCTTTTGGAAAAGCAGAGACACCTGATACAAACCGGCTGTTTCCCCCGGGATTGAGCCCCTTGCTTGCCAAGGAGGACATGCACCCCCAGCGGGTGCGTCGCCCAAAGCGCACCTTCTCCCCACCGAGTAATATTCTTGGTCTGCTTTCCAGCCGCCAGCCTGAGCCACCAAAGAAGGAGAAGGAGACCACCACCACCACCACCACCACCACCACCCCGTCCCAGTCCAAGAGAGCCGACGAGTGGAAGGACCCTTGGCGCCGGTCAAAATCCCCCAAAAAGAAGCACGGCCTGTCTGCCTCGCCCAGCCGTGCCCGCAGGCGCCGGAAAACCTCGGCCTCCTCAGCCTCCGGCTCAGGTTCCTCAAGGTATCGGGAGGGGTGTGTGAGCAGAGACGCAAGGGGAGTCCCTTCCCTTTGCCTCTTTTCAGGATGGCTGGTAGGATCCCTGTCCCCATGGGAGACGGGGAGAGGAGGAGACTTTGCTAGAAACGGGGGTTTGGGGGTGCAGTGGCCGGAATTGGGGTCTGCTCTGAAGAAGGGTGCAGTTCAAAGGTGCTGGGGGGCATTTCGCTCCGGTGCTCTTCCCAAGAAAGGTCATACTGCCCACTTTCGTGTGTGTGTGTGTGTGTCCGTCCGATACTGCCCACTTTCGTGTGTGTGTGTGTGTCCGTCCAACCTGCCCTGCCCTGCCCTGCCCCCCCCCAGTGCCATTTGAATGTGAAAGGAAAAGGGTCCCAAGGAAGCTCAAGGTGGGCCACCCAACGATTTTGGGTCCGAAACGAACCCAGAAGAGCCTGCAGGGGTGAGAGGGGAGGGTTTGGGTGGGTGGAGCTTCCACTGCTTCTTCAAGCAGTAAGAGCTGGAAACCCGAATGCCCGTGGGGCGTGTTTCCAATGCTGACTGTTCCCCCCACCCCACCTTCTCCTTACAGGTCGTCCTCTCGCTCCTCGTCCTATTCCGGGTCTGGCTCCTCGCGCTCTCGCTCTTCCTCCTACAGCTCCTACTCGAGTCGCTCTTCCAGGCACAGCTCCTTCTCAGGCAGTCGGTCCAGGTACGGTTTCCCCGGCCTCTGCGCGGGGGTCTCTTGATGCCCGACGATGGCCAAAGGAGGCGTGCCCTGTGGTCCCCTTAGCTGGAATCCTTTCCAACCGAGGGGAAGTGGGGCCATTGGCCTGCCTCCAGGCCGGAGCACCTCATGACCTTCCGGCTGACCTTACCTTTCCTTGTCTTTATGGCAGCTGTCAGAGAGAAGGCTTCCGCCAGCAGGAGCCTGGGGTTGGTCTAGTGCGCGGTGCATCTCCCCACAGAAGGAGGAGGAGGAGGAGGAGGAAGAGATAAGGGGGTCTTTAGCTTCCCACCTCTAGGTCCATCCAGTCCAGTTCCCTGCGTCTCACAGTGGCTCACTAAATGCTCCCAGGTTTCACTATGGCAGGGTGCGAAGACCGTCGCTCTCCTGCACCGCCACCCTCCTGGCTCTCCCGCGGCCACTCCCCCAAAATCTGGGTAGGAATTGCTTCTAGACCAGGCAGTTTTCGCTCCCCCAGTCCCTCCCTCCAGCAAGAGAGAGCAGCCATGATGGCCAGCTCTTAGTAGAGCTTCTCTGGTTCCTCCCACCCCCCGCCCCAGATTTATCTTGTCGCCTTATTAAAATAATCAAGGCTAGTCATGTGTGGCCAGTTTCTTCAGATAGTGAATTCTGTGAAGTATGTAGTTGGTCGTACTTTGACAGAGCAGGGTGGAGGGGAGGGGGAAAGACCCATGTAGAGTGACCATTTGCCTTAGAGGTGACCCAAGGGGTGAGCTCAGCCTATCTGAATGTGCAAGGAACCCAGCTCCACTGGGGTAGGTGGCATCAGAGCAGAGCTGAGAAAGGATTCCACCCACCCCACCCCCTTGTATCGGTAATGAAAAACTCTGGCCTGTGCTGGCTGAGCGGTCTTGCAAGCTGTCATTCTAAAGAGGAACTTTTTCTCATATGATGTTGTCCAGAGATGATGGACTGCCAGGTTCCTGATTTCCCACCAGGATGGCGGTCAGGATGACATGCCCATAACTGGGGAACTCTCCCCCCAATATTGGCCCAGATTCTTTCCCACTTCCTAGCCCGCCCATTCAGGCACACAGCCTTTAGGTGGAAATCTCAAATAGATGCCGTCAGCCCTGCCGCACGTGGCGGAGGCTAGCGGCAGTTTCTGACACGGGCGCAGGACCAGGGCGGTCACGATCCGTCTTCTGTGTTTGGATTGGTGGCGGCTCTTGCCGGTGACAAAGAGTGATGAAATCTCTAAGCACGGCAGAATGATCCTCCTTTATGGGAAGGAGTGGCAAAAAAAACGAGAATTGCGTAAACAAACGGTGATCATCTTATGACCCACGACAAAGATTTTCTCTTTCAAAGGACAGAGGCAGTTCTGAAGTTCACAGTTAGAATACAGGCAAAGGTATTTATGGCATCCTGTGACTGGCCGAGAACCCCATGATGTCTTGAGCCAGGCGGTTTCCGCTGCTCTTCCACTTCCTCCTGCAGCCCCTGGATTCTTCTTCTTAGCATCCCCAGGCAGGTGGACTACCTGGGAGGGTCTCCTTCACAGGTTTTCCTCTCCGCCAAGCCTGGGCTTCCAGCCACCAGGAAAAGGGCTTCAATTCAGAAGCAGTATTATTACTTTTTAAACGTTTATGTCCTGCCCTCTACCCAAAGATCCTGGAGCTGGATACAGGAAAAAAAAATCCACACTGAACAATTTGAAGCTGCCTAAACCTTCTGAAGCCCTTGGAAACTGCCTGTGCCACGCAGAGCATGGCAGAAATGCACCCCCAGTGGCCTACACTGGTTTTGGTCAGGATCCAGGTTTTAATTGGCGGAGGAAATGAGGCTGCTTGGGGACCCCTGGGGAAGGCGTTGCAGAGGTTAGGGTGCCCCAGCAGAGAAGGGTCTCCTCTCTGCCGCCCCATAACAGCTGCTCCTGTTGCGGGATGCAGAAGATGGGGACCCGGGTGAAGCAAAACCAAAACACACACCATCACACACACACACACCATCACACACACACACACACACCACACCACCTATCAGCGAAGCCATGTAACCCCACTGGCCCTCGGCCTCTGGAGAGAGAAGGGCTTCCCTGCCTTTGCCCTGAACCCAAGAGGTAGTCAGACAAAGGCCCGACTCCCCCCCCACACACACACACATGCTGCCTCTCTCCTGTTCTGCAGTGTTGCTGAAAACACTACTCTTTTCACTCCAGTAAGCAGGAGGGCCTCACTGGGGGCAACTCGAAGCGGTCCCTGGGGGAACGAGCCAAAGGGACCAGGGTTCTTTTCCCAGTGAACAGATCCTTGGGCACAGGCCAGGACTTGGAGGGGATGGAAAGTGGGGCAGTTTGGGGCTTGTGGGGCAGAAAGCCAAGCTGAGTGGGGAGGCGCCTCCCCTGATTACTGGAAACCCCGGCAGGTGTGTCCCTGGGTTTCATAGTTTACGAGGCACGCCTTGCCCACGTGCCATGTGGAGGCCTCCTCCTTCCTGCCCATCCTGGGCTCCTCCAGCTGCCTCTCGGCACGCAGGCAGGCACTCCGCCTTGAAAGCAGCCAGGATGGGGTGGCTGGTTTTGGCTCTCTAATCATCTGAGGCCTTGGATCGTGGGAATCCTGGAAGTCTCGAGCACAAGCAGCCCTGAGGGTGGGCAGGAGCCGCTTGGCACGCAAGGAACGGCTGGGAGCCGTGACCTCACCAAAGAGAACTTCCCAGATATTTGGATTTTTAGAGCTAACCTTCCCCCCCCCCAAAAAAGCCACATTGCTTCTACTTTGCTTCTTTTCCGTTTTCGTGAAAAACAAAATAACTGTACGCCAGGCCCTGATGTTCCCTCTGTCATAAAAACCAAAGAGTGTTACTTGAAATGCTCACGTCCGTGGAAAGTGCTTATCTAAGGTCATTAAAAGTTATTAACAGTGCCTTCCACTTTTTAAAAAAAGATTATTTTCCTTGTTTCACAATCACTGTTAACTAAAACCCGTTGATGGTGGTTCTTCTAGAGAAGTAAATGTTTCAAAAATCCGACTGGTTGATTAACTGAACCTTGTTAGACCAGTTAAAAGGCTGGGCTGCAGGAGTGCCCCAAGTCTGAACGGCATCTTGCATTTTCTTGTCCAAACTCTGCAGGTCGCGGTCCTTCTCCTCTTCTCCGTCTCCTTCCCCGACACCTTCTCCGCACAAACCTCCTTCCAAAGCTAAGGGAGAGCCTGTGGCGCCTGCTGCAAAGGGGTAAGGTCGCTGGGTCCGCTCTGGGCCAAACAGTCTGCGGCGAAGCTGCCTCCGGGCTGGGTCCACAGACGGCTGGCCGGAAGGGGTCGCTGCCCAGCCACTGCCTCACTGAGGAGCAAGCCAGACTCTCGTGATGGGAAGAGGAGGAGGAGGAGGGGAATCATGGGTGGGGGGGGCTGGATCCAGCCCACCTCTTTCTGTCTTCACACAGCCAGCTGTTAGAAGGTTAAAGAGCTAAGAGGGTGTAGGGTTCCTCCCTGGAAGGAGTCAACCTCCGTCCATAGTGAGGGACAGGGTAGCTGGTGCTAAGGACGTCTGTCCCCGTAGACATGTCCCTTGAGGGGTTGGGACAGAAGGCCTGCACTCACAGGGTCTTTGGGGTGAGTAACGGGGGCGCCACAAAAACCCTCAAAGGGGACATCCCACGGATTTCCAGAAAACATGCTCAGGGTCTAGTCATGTGACTCCTCCTCCTGGAACCCCAAACGCTTTTGGGGTCCACAGGGATTCAGTCTCCAAAAGGGGACCTTTACGGTTTCGTCACATGTTATATTCTCCTGCCCCAAAGCCTCCAAGGAGCCCAGTGTGCCCCCTACGGCTACACACTCATGCACACACAGAGCAATACTCTTTTGTTCTGACAACCCCCTTGTGAGGTAGGATAATCCTGAGTGGGCTTTGTGACTGCACCTGGATATGAACCTAGGTCTCCCTGATGAGAACTCCACAGGGCAGCCCCTGTTTGCCCCACTGCTGGTGGCGCCTGAAGCCCCCCTTGAGGACCTCCTCCAGAAGAACCTTTGGGGTCCTTCTTTGGGGTGGGGGGAATGGTCCGTCACTGGAGAGGGTAGGGGTTCTCTTGTGTTTTGTCACGTGGAGAGCCAGGCTGAGCAGCATCTTCCCCCCAGGCGAGATTTGCAGAGTGGCGCCCTGTGGACGGTTTGGAGCCCGGGTGTGAATGAATGAACGCAAATCCAACCGTTGTACTTGCACAAATATTGATTTTGAAAGAGACGTCATCTCCCTTCTGCACAAACACTCTCACACACACCCTGTTGTGGCGTGACACGAGCCTGACACCATTCAAGAGGGCACCTGCAGAAGGATGCCTCTCCTCCTGCAGCAAGGGGCCTTCTCCTTTTATCTTCTTTATTTAATGAACAAGTTACAGATGTCTTGATAAGATGCCACCCTCTGATGGAACCTCGTGAACCAGGAGCCGTGATGTCTCTCTCTTTCAGATGTGTGCCATAAGGCTTAACTACAGGAGGATGTTGGGATCACAGGGAGCACAGGAGAGGGTGGGTTTGGGAGTTCTAGGGGCAGGAGCAGGGGGGTGGGAGGAGAAGAGGAAAGGTCAAGACAAATTCCAACGGAGGAGAAGGCCTTCGGAGGGTTTGGGGTGATGATGCAAAGTAGGAGCAAAGGTCACCCTGTTCGGCTGTGAAGACAGGGTCGAAAAGGCACAGTCCAGAAAAGACAAGGAAGGGCCCGGGCTTGGGTTGGGGATATGCATGGGGGGCAGGCGGGCGGGAGGGAGGTTGGAAGGACGAGAACAACCCCACCTCTTTGTTCTGTGGCCCCACACTGGCTCCCAGGGAGGAGCGCCCTGGACCAGCGGACCAGCTCAGTGGTTCCCGGAGATCCGGATCTGTGCTCTTTTCCTGGCAACCTCCCTCCGTCACTGGTTCCATCTTCCCTGTTTTGTGTGTGCAGCGACAAGCCCGTGAAGAAGCTCCCGGCCCCTCCGGCCCCTCCGCCGGTCACGAAAGCCACGCCTGCTGCGCCCGAGCCGGCCAAGGCTGGGGACAACAGAGAGGCGCGGCGGAAGGAGCGCCAGGCGAGAACACCACCCAGGAGGTAGGGGCGATTTCTCCCACCCATCATTGCTCTCTGGGGGGTTCCCCAGAGCAACCCCAGACCAGACACACACACACACACACAGACACTTGCGTCGGAGCCCAGGTGGATCTCTTCCCTTGCCCAGGTCCATGTGCTGGCAGAGCCTCTTTGCTGATGGGGAGGATCATGTATTAGTCAAACTTTCTAAGAATCAGAGGGGGGAAAATACCTTTCCAACCGTGATGCATCAGTACTTAGGGCTGTTCCGTGTCCTTGGAGTGACCTGTCCTCCAGATGGCAAGTGACAGCCCGTCCCAGCAACAAGGAGCGCGGATTGAGGGAGGGAGCCTGAACGTGTGTGCATGTTGTGTTGCAGGCGGGTCATCAGCTGCAGCGGGAGCGGCAGCGGCAGCAGCTACAGCGGTTCCAGCTCTCGGTCTCGGTCCTTGTCGCAGTCGCTTTCCCGGTCTCATTCCCGGTCCACGTCAGCCTCTGTTTCCCCATCACCCTCTGGGTCCAGAAAATCTAGGTGAGGAGCTTCCTCTCGGCTGCTTCCAGGTGGGGGAGCACCCTGGAGGGTGGGGCTTCTGCTGAAGGCCATCCTTTTCGAGGTACGGTTTGGTCACTGGAAGCCCACCACCCGTCTCTGTAGCCACCCTTTGAGCAACTTCAAGCAGGGAAATGGCCTGACAGCTCAGATTTTGTATGGCAAGGCCTAAGAATTGCCTGGCTAGGTTAGAGCCCCGATATAGCTGGGTCTACATCCTGTCCCTGGACAGTGTCCAGCCACAGGAGGTCTTGGGAACAACCCATCGCGACCTCTTGGCCTCCACACATCAGAAGCCCCCCCCGCCCCACCAGAGAGGTTTTGCCTCGGTGTGCTGTGGCCGGTGTGTCCACAGTTGGTTTAAAGCTGTGCTCCATGTCCCTGAGCGCTGCGTTGGCAGGGCCCTTGAGTTTAGTTGTAAAGGAAAGGCTCGTTGCCGAGCGCAGAAGGAAGCAGGGTGGCCAAACGGGAAGAGTCTCAGCCCGACACCCCGGTGGTGGCTTCAGAGGCCGTCGGCCGTGAGCACGAACGGGAGGGGACATTATGCAGGAGGAACACATTCCCGCTCAGCTTCCTGGCCTTCCGGGAACAGCAGGCATGGCCTCTGCCCCCACCCACCCTGTTCCTTCCTGGAAAGAGCCGTGCCTTGTGGCCTCGACCGGGCTCTCCTTTTGACCTCCCTCTCTCCCCCCCCCCCCCGCAGGAGCTCTGGAGAGGCTCTCCGTGCATTCTGTGGGATGTTCTGTTGCGTCCTTTGGCTGGAGGGGGAGGCGCCTGCGGGCTAGTGGGCCATGGAGCAGAAGCCCCCCACTCGTGTGTTGTGAGCAGAGAGAGAGAGATTGAGAGACCTGTTGTCCCTGTGGTTGCTTTTCAACCTTTCCGCTTCTTCCTCCCTGCCCTGGCCAGGTCTCTGAGCGTCAGTAGCATCTCGTCCGTTTCTAGTGCCTCCTCCAGTAGCAGCTCCGTGCGCAGTGCTGACTCGGAAGACATGTACGCGGACCTGGCCAGCCCGGTCTCCTCAGCCAGCTCCCGGTCCCCGACCCCGGCGCAGCCGAAGAAGGAGAGAGGTAGGAAGCTTAGCGGCCGGCTTTCGCTCTGTACTGCGGCCTCCCTGGTTTTCCTTTGGGGAACTGCTGCTCCCCTTCCGCCCTGATTCCTCTGAACCAGCCGCTGAGGGCCAAAGGCGCGTCGGCCGTGCGCTTCAGAAGCAAACGAGAAGCTTGTGCCTTTTTTGTGGGTGTGGCTCAGTGGCGAGGAATCCCAAAGAAGTTTCTGCTTTCACCCTCCGCTCTTTGTTTAAATGCTTGCCCCTGGAGCCGCCGATTCATGGGTGCACCACTCTGAGCGGGGCTTTGGAGCACGTACAGCATCCCATGCCATCCCCTCCCCATTTCTCTTCCTCCCCCTTTGTGGTGTGTGTGTAAGGGGAGAGGCTGCAAGTGCCTCTGGAATCCGAGGGACAGGATTGAAGAGTGATACACACACACACACACACACACACACCGTCCACTGGCCGCCGCCGATTCATGGGTGCACCACTCTGAGCGGGGCTTTGGAGCACGTACAGCATCCCATGCCATCCCCTCCCCATTTCTCTTCCTCCCCCTTTGTGGTGTGTGTGTAAGGGGAGAGGCTGCAAGTGCCTCTGGAATCCGAGGGACAGGATTGAAGAGTGATACACACACACACACACACACACACACCGACCACTGGCTGTGAGTTCATTTCTGAAAAATTGTGGTGCCTCCTAAGCTCCTAAGTGTGTTGTGCATTGACGATAAAGGTGATGGTGATGATGATAGGTAACGTAGGGCTGCACTTGCTTGCTTTTTTCACTCGGTGTGGTGTGTTCCGCCTTTAGCAGGAAAGCCCAGAAAAGAAGGTGCCGTCAAGGAGGAGAAGCGGAAGCGGGACGCTCCAGCCCAGCCCCCCAAGCCGGCCAAGCCTGCACCGGGGGCCAAATCTCAGGCTCCTCCGGCGCCTCACCAGCCCCCCCAGGCTCAGCCAGCCGGCTTCAGTGGCCACAAAGAGATCAAGCTCACCCTGCTAAATAAGGTGAGGGGGGGGGAGCTTTGTGGGAGGGGGCCCTTCAAGACCCCCAGAGGGGCTGGGAGCGTGTGTCCAAAGAGGAGTGTCTCCCACCAATTGTACCGTTTGGTTTTTCTAGCAAGGGGCCAGGCGGGGAGAGTCCAGTGGGACCCCCTTGCCCAGCTCCTGGAGGCGCGAGGCTGGCCTCCTCTGATCTCCTCTGCTCTGCTTTTGCTTTTAGGCGGCCGACAAAGGGAGCAGCCGGAAGAGGTACGAGCCATCTGACAAGGACAGGCCAGGTTCTCCTCCAGCCAAGCGGATCAACATGTCTCCGGACAGAGGTGAGGAAGGGCTGGGCCGGGCCGGCAGGGATGCAGCAGTGTCCCCAGCACCTGGATGGCTCTGCCTGCCCCCACTCCACTGCTGCCATGCACAACTCAGAGGCCCTCTCCTCCAGACTACGTTTCCCAGAATCCCTCATCAGCATCACCAGTGTGGGGTGCCAACATTGGCAGTCCAGAAGTGGTTGTCACCATCCTTCTGCAGGATGGCCAGGCGGGGCTGGGAAGCTGCTGTGTCTCTGAACTTTTCCTAAGAGAGCTTCTTTCCTGGGAGAGCGAGCAGCCACCCCTTGCTGCCTGCTCCGCTGACTCGGTGTGGGATCTGGGGTATCCGAGGCAGTCCCGGGAGAGCCACTTTTGCATCAAGAATCAATGGCCCAGCCTTGCAGACATGATTGGGGCCCCCTGGCAAGAGTGGCTGAGCCCGACGGGATCACCACCTCCCTGCCCATTCCCCAGCCCAGGCTTTTCGGCACATCTGCCCTTGGCTCTCCGAGATGGGCTTCTTTTGCTTTTCTTTTTGAGAGGGAGGCAGGGTTGAGCCCTGCCAGCTGAGCTCCAAGGTCCCCCCCCCCCGCGCCTGTGCCTCTCCTGCCCCATCTCGGGCTTTCATCAGCGAATGAGCTGTTCCGCTCTGACTCAGGTGTGGCGAAATCCCAGTACACCCCCCCCCCCCCCCGGAGATCTGTTGCAAACTCTGTCCAGGGAGGCGTCCCTCCATCCCTGGGCCACTGCCTGCTACGGTCCTTGGAACTGGCTAGACGATTCCTGGATCGTGTGACCAGCATTTAACCTGGATTCCTTTGGCCTTTGCTGTTGCTCAGGGAACCGGAGGCTCCCTCCAGAGCACCCAGGCCTGCAACAAGCTGGGTGTTGGCTAACTGTTGTTGGGGCAAGGACTTTCCTTAGAGGAGCGATCGATCGCTGTGCCAGATTCCTCAGGCTGATCTCACCACCTGAAAAAAAAAAGGTGTTATGTAAACGAGAGCCTGTTGGTGTCACCAAGAGAGCAGGGACTGGAAAGTCCCCAGATGAGCTCTCGCCCCTGCCATGAACTCATGAGACAGATGGAGGCACGAGGCTTTTGGTTCATTCTCTCTTCCTCCCCCCCCCCGCCACAAGTTCCAGTTTTCCACCTGCATTGTGCAGATAATCACCCTGACCTACCTTACAGGGTTGCTGACAATGCGTGCCAAGCCAGCTCCCTGTTTGTGAAGCGCTTGGTTAACAGCTGCTGTCATGGTTGCACATTGTCAACAATTAGTTATCATTGTCTCCTTATTAGCATTAAATTGGCCGATTCCATTTGTGCTCTTTTTCTTCGGAGAACCCATTCCCTGTTGTCGGCCCTTGGGGGGTGGGGTGGGGGGAGAGACGTGCCTTTCCTGGCCAGCCTCTTGAGGGCCTCCAGTGGTAGCGTGCAATGCACACAAGTCAAGTCCTATTCAAAGGTTTCTAGCCTGTTGACTCAACCAATGGCTCACGACAACATTGAAAAATCACAGTTCTAAGAAAACCGTCTGATTCTCCACCCCAGCCCCCAGAACCCTCACTGGCTCTTTGCCCTTCCTCTCTGTGCCAGGTCCTCGCGATCGGAAACCCGCCGGAAGGCTCTCGTCACCTAAACAGGAGCGTCAGCGGGGGCCCAGTACGAAGCCTGCCCCCACCCAGACAGACAAGTGAGTTGCACCCCACGCTTTGGACGGGCTGCTTGGTTTGGCTCCCCCTCCTGGTTTCCTGCTGCAGGCTCTTGGACGGGCCACGGGGCTCCCTCACCTTCGCCGAGGAGAAGCGAGGGCGGCAGGGGTGCCCAGGCGGCCTCTGATCTGCCTCAGGTTTGGCAGGGTGTCTGCCTGGCACGGCTCCCCTGGGGGTGCAGGCCTTCCTCTTTAGGGGAGAAAGCCAGCCATCCTCCTTCACCACTGTTTGGCAGCCGTGCTCACAGTGCAGGGTGACCAAAGGGCCAAGGCCCCTCAGCCTTTCCATCATGGCTCCTTTAGAGGAGCGATAGAGCAGGGGTAGGAGGGCTCTGGGTGGGAAGGAGTTCAAGCAAAACAAGCTGCCTTCCCAGCCCTTGGGCCTTCCAGGGGTTACTAGGGCAGGGTCTGGTTTTTCACATGACTGTCCTGCTGGATGGTGAGGTTTGTAAAAAGGACCCTTGAAGGTCTGCCAGGGGCCTGGCTTTGAGAGTCAGGAGTTAAGGTCTGTCTGGGCCTTCTCCCTTGACCTGGATCCATCCCAAGGCTGGCCGGCTGGCTGGCTGGCTGGCTAGGAGGTGGTGTCCCTAAGTGACTCTCTGCAGCCCCAAACATGTGGGCTCTGCTTGGGGCGGCTTCAGCAGTGAGGCTTCTGCAGCAAGTTCCTGGTTTTGCCCAGAGACCAACCCCCAGCCTCCGGCTTGCATGCTTGGGGGCTGTGGCTCCCCCACCTCCTGTCCGGGTGCCTCTGAACTGCCCCTTCCTTTTGCTGCTGTGGAACAGGCTGAAGAGCCTTGGTTGGGTAACCCTTGGGCCGCGATCCTACGCCATGTGACTCACAAAGGCTGGGAATCACCCATGGGTGCCAGTTATCGAGTTACCGTGTGATCATAGTACCGTTTGAAGGCCTGGTGCAAACCCCAAGGCCATGGGGTGGGGGAGAGAGAGAGAGCGAGCCGCCGTTTCATCCTTAATGACCTGGGCGTGACCTTCCCAGGACATCTTGCATTGCCGGAGAGCAGAGGCTTCCTATGCATGGACACGTCAGAGAGGGAGGTTCTCCCACGCAGGTGACGGTTCATGGAACAGATCAGTGGAAGTGCCCCAGATACACCTGAAATGGGGCTCTTCCTGCCTGCTCACCTCCAAGAAAGATTTGCCCATGACACTGGAAAGTTTGCATCCTTAGACATCCAAAGAACAACAGGGTCTGTTGAGAAGAATCAGGTTTTGCTTGCCTTGTAAAGTGGGGAGTTGGAAGCACCCGTCACATCTTCTCATTCCCCATCATCAGTCCCTCCCCCCTTCCCCCCCCCGTCAATGGAAATTGGCATTCCAGGGCGGGTTGGCAGGGGAGGTGTCAGGCCAGTGACCTTGCTGACAGCAGGGTGAGTCTTTCTTGGCAGATGCTGCAACAGCCTGCCTCTTACTCTGGGCGCCATTGGTTCACTGGACGGGGTTCTGCCCTGTTGGGTCACATCAGAGCCTGCGGATAAGGCACAGTCGCTTCCTCTGAAGCCCCCTCCCCTTCTGCTAGCTGAAGCGCCATGATTCGTTTGCAGCCGTTTATCTCAAACTCAAGCCTAAATGCTTTCTGGACTGTCCCCCTGGTCTGTCGGTGGGAGTCCTTGCACAATCTGGGGGGGGGGGGACACACCCTCGACCCTGGCTTTAATGTTGATGCCGGCAGGGGTCTCGGTTTGAATATTTGGCACCCGTTTTACATCCCTGGTGCAGAAGAACAAAATGTCCAGTCACTGTTCCCTAGTCATTTTCCCCCCTCCAGCTGCAAATTGCACTCAGACCTGTCTGATTTAATGGAAGTTCTCAAAGCCATCGTTTTTAACCCCACGGTGCAGCCTCAGGACCCTTCAAAGGTTCTGGCACTCGGAAGGGCCCAGTGGAGAAGCGAGACCACCTGCAGAGCAGAGGCAGTGGCAGGTCCCAATCCCTGGTGGGGACGTCCTAAAAAGCGCTAGTGTGGGTGCAGGTCTTAGTGATAGCAGAGACCCTGTGGAGGTTACTGATTCATAAAACACAAAGAGGTGGAGCAGAATGCTGTTTTTACTACACGTTGGAGGAGGAGGAGGAGTTGCCAAAACTTGCTTGTGCCATTTTCCAATTGGAGAAGGGAAAAAACGGTATTGAAATGCCAGGAGGCTTCCTTGACTTGAACACGTGACATGAAAAGTTTGATTCCTGCCTTTGCTATGAAGGGCAAAATAACAAACATTTCAGACGTCTGTGTTTGCATCAGAAAGAACGAGAGAGGCTTTAGAGGTTGCATTTTCTGGTTGTAGAGACACTGCAGACTTAGCAGAAAGCTTTGCCTCCTGGAAATCTATCTAAGCCTCAGAAAACCTCCTTATTCCCAGCCCATTCTCATTGCAGGGTGTGTGTGTGTGTGGTTTTTTTTCCCCTTTGCTGCAGGAAACGTCCGTTGTCGCCCCAGTCCAAGGGTTCCAGCAAAGTCACAAGTATCCCGGGCAAAGCCGCCGAATCGGCCCCTGCAGCTGCTACTGCAAAACCAGGCAAGTCCAGCACACTGTCACGTCGAGAGGAACTCCTGAAGCAGCTGAAGGCAGTGGAAGACGCCATTGCTCGCAAGCGGGCCAAGATCCCTGGGAAAGTATAGTCTGGCCTCCGTACAGCCCAGAAGAGAGACTGCTCCCTGTGTTTTTATAAATAGCAAACAAACAGCCACTTCGGATTTTTGAAGTTCTGTTTTATTTTGGCTGTGATCCTTTTTAAGAAAAACAAAATTGAAAAGAAAAGAGAAGTTTTGTCAACTGGAGGCCTGCCCACCTGCTCGCCCACCCAAGTCTGAGACCACTCCCTCTGGTTTCCTCTCCTACCCACCGCACCTTGCCGGGACTGTGGTGGTAGGCGGTCAGCGCCGTGGCTGCCCCCCCCATGCCCAGGGTGCGCAGCAGACTCTGAAGCGCCGCCCTGTCGGGGGCCTTCTCCTCTGCCTGGCCCACCGCCTCTCTGCTAGCTGCAAGTCGTACGTGCCTAGTTAGCCCCGCTGTGCGTCGAGTGTCTTCAGCAATGCAGTTTCTACGTCCTGCGTCGAGGGGGGGGGCAGAGCTGCTGCCACCGGCCAGAAAGGTCTCCCTCTGTTGACTCTCCTCCGCCTGCCCTCCCCACCTCGTCCCCCACCAGGAACTAAACCAGTTGCATAGATACCCTTGGCGGAAGTCTGGTTGAAAGGTCCCATGCGTCTTTTATTTGAAGCGAGAAATATTGCTCTAGTTGAATTTTAAAAACCAGAGAAGATGCAAAGGTTTTGTCAGAATGCGTGTCTGATGAGGAGGGTTTTTTTTTTTTTTGAGGGGTTATGCTGAAAATAAAATATTTTGATAAACAGTTCCTTCTTTGACCTTTTCTGTCCAAGTCCTAAATCCTGTCTCAGGGCATCTGGCTCACAAGATGGGTGTTGTAGTCTTAAACCCCAGGGCCCTCCAGACGTTGCTGGATTTGCATGGTTTCCCTGCCCACGGAGCCAGTGAGCAGGGCTGGAGGGAGCCTGGGTGGAAACATCTGGAGGGCTCCCAGGTTTTTCCTCCACCCAAGCATTACAGGTACTTCCACACAGGAAACTCAGCATGTCTCTCTTGCTCCCCAAACAGAAGCAGAGCCTCTGAAGATTCTTTTTGGCCTACGTGGTCTTGCATTTTCCTGCTGTTTTCAAGATCCTGGGAACATTTTAGCCGCAAGCAGTAACACGCAGGCTGAAGGAAGATCTGGGCCAGATGAAGCTCTCGGAAGGCTAGGGAGCAGTCCAACAGGTCAGGTCACCCATTTTCTGGTGCTAAGGGAAGTGCCCCCCAGTCGCATTTTCTTCAGAAGCAAATAACCCTCTTTAACTGTCTTTTTCTGTGATTGGAGCAAAACAGAGGTGAGGTCCCCCTCTGATACACAGGCCTAGCCAGGGAGATGCAGCCACACTTTATTCCAGCGACCACCAGTCCAGTAATGGCAAGCATACAAAAGACTATGAAACCCTTCTGCCTTGGTCAAACAATAACCATAATACTCCTGGAACTGCAGAGCTGGACGGAACCCTCTCTAGGTTATGCCGTCCATCCTTTGGCAAGGAGGCACAAGAGGGAGTTGGACTCCCAGCCAGATGCCTCAACACCTGAGCTATGCTGAGAGAAGGGTTTGGGGGAGTATTTATTTCCTTCCTTCCTTTTAAGGACTGCTTCCTCCCCCACCCCCACCCCCAGCAACATTCCAAGTCCCAGCAAATCTCTGGGCTACCCTGGGGGACATCTCTCAACACTTTTGCATCCCCTTAGGAGCCCCGCCACCTGCTTGGTATCCTTCTCGATCACATCCCAAAACAACCTGGGACTTAAGATGACGCACACAGGGTCCCCCACTCACAGACTGCATAATTTGGGAACTTCATACCCGTTGGAAGAAACATGTGGTCTCACAAGCTTGTATGTGTTCTGTGCCTTTTCTATTAGCATAATGGGTTTATTATTCCAGTATGGGCTTGGTGACTGACTTGATGGCCCAAAGAACCTTCCTATTTTATTTTATTTTTAAAATCAAGTACACCTCTTAAAACTGATCTCACTAGGTGGTACAGAGCCCTAGTATAGAAGTGTATTACTGTACTTATGCATATATCCGATTCCCTTTCCATGATGACACACACTCAATTGAAAAAGGGGTGTGGGGGGGCTGTTCCAGAACGACCGACACTCAAAGTCATAGGAAACTATTCCAAACCATGTCCCTGAAAAAGAGCCAGCTGCTGGCTGAGGGATTCTGGAAGTGGGAGTGTTTGTGATGACCAGCTTATTCTCTTGACAAAATTCTATTAGCCTTTGTCCTGCTTCGTTCTGAACTCCAAGGCCAAACTTCCCTGTTGTTCCTTTTATCTCTTGGCTCCCTACTTTAGCATTCCAGTCCCCTAGAATGAGAAGAACATCTGGAAGTGGTCATCAAACAAAGCTGAAGTTCCAGGCCCTTGAAACGGATTCAGAGATGACTACCCTGCTGCTACCTGAAGGCCTTAAGATAGGAAGATGGATGAAGGTTGATGTATTTATTTTTTTAAAAGAAAAACCTGAAAGGGTGCCAAGAGGGCTGGGTTAGGTGGTGACCCAGGACCTTTCCGTTCTTGCTTCATTTGGGAGTTTTGGCCTTGGCTCCAGGTGTCAAGTGAACAGTCCAGGATGCAGAACCGCCCCTGTCCCCATGCAAGAGAGGGCCCGGCTGGTGGTGCTGAGCTCACCTCGGCCGGCGGCTCCTCCTCCTCCTTTTCCTCCTCTTCCTCCCTTGGGGCAACAGGTGTGCTGGCGGAGGGAGCCAGGCCCAATCGGCTCCTTGCACCTGCAACACCCCAGGGCTCTGCAGCCTGCCCCCCCTCCTTGCCCCAAGGTGCCTTCTTGGCTTGGGGGCCCCTGTTGCTCCCAAGCTGCCCGCATCCCTCCTTCCCAAGCAAAACCAAGGAGGAGGAAGGGCAGCTCAGGGACACCTGCCAGGTCTGGGGCACTGGAGGTGGTCCAGGACCTTCAGCGGCACCTTTCAAATCTTACTTCTCTGAAATGAAGCCTCACCTTTGGTGGCCCCAACAGGGAGGGAGCTAAAAGGTGGCCCTTGCGGGCTTTGCCAAGAAGGGGAAGGTTTCACTCTGCAGATGAAGTAGTTGGGATGGAGATAAAGAAGCTGCTTTTTCTCCCCTATGGATCTGGAGTCCAGTGTCTTGAAACCAAAGAAAGATTGTTTAGTCATTTTGCACATTGCTCAAGGTTGCAAGCAGATAAAAAGGACAGGGGTGAACAATACGTCGCCCCCTTGCCACCTCCAAAAAAAAGGTCTTCATGTGGGAGCCTCAGACTTCCCAGTGGTCGCATCCCTTCCTTGCCTTGTGGCCCTTTCCCCCTTTAATTTCCACACCACACTGGGCTTGTGGCCCTTTCCCCCTTTAATTTCCACGCCACGCTGTGGGATGTGAGAAGCCCTGCGTGGCCTTTCTCGAAGCCACCCTCTCTTGCGTCCACACGACCTGCTGGCCTCCCTTCGGGCAAGATCGGCTGCAAACATCAAGCTGGTTTTCTGACAAGGCAGAAGAAACGGATGGGCCTCAGGACCGTGTGACGCTCATGTGGTTCTGTCACGGGAAGCAACACAAACAGTGCCACGTTTCCACACAAGACCCGGGGATGGGGTGGTTTTTCTGTTTCGCTTTTCATTTGCATGTACACATCATGCGTGGAACGGAAGCCACCCAATCAGTGCCCTTGCTGCTTTGGGGGGGATCCTTTCTTCTTTTCTGTTGGACTTTCCAGAAAAAGGTTGTTAAAACGAACCGGTGTGGGCTCCCTGCCCTGATCACCGTGGACTTTCCAGTTTGAAAAGAAAAGTGAGCAAAGCTGTGCAAATACGGCTCTGCCGAACAGTAGGTGCTGCCAAATCTCAGAGCAGGAAATGCATCAGCTCCCATTAGGCATGGAATGCTTTTTTTGCAAAAAGAAAAGAAAAAAGCACTTTTCTGCAAAAGAAAAGAGGAGGAGTCGACTTATTACCCCAAGCAGGGCTGGCAAAGATCCTGCCTCAGCGAGTGCTCAAAACATTTGCTTTCATTCCATGGGTCCTTTACGTCAAATGGGTAAAAGCTGCAATTTCCTGATCAGACAGAATCAGAATTGGAAAAAAATGCTCCTTTTTGTGACAGCCACAGCCGAAATCCTCCCAGAAACATGAGCACAGTCTGGGATATTATGGGATCTGTAGCACGCACCACCTGCCCCCCCTAAAAAGGAACCTTTCCAAACTTTGGGAGAGAAGAACTGTCATTTTCTAATGGTGAGGGATGCGGGTGCGAGGGGATGCTACCCTGTTTTGCTTTCTTCCTGCACAGGATGCAATGAATTAACGCTGATGATGCGGACGATGCACAGCTTATCCCGGAACGTTGTGGCTTATAGGGCAGCATTCCGTGCCATCGTTCATGCTACCAACACACCCCATATGTAGACAAAAGATAATAAATTCAGATCAGTCTGACTGATCTGCTTATTTAATATCTCTTTTGTCCCTTGCAGGATCCAAGGCACTTTGCAACATACCTTAAAGAAAAAGCAAGTTCAGCTTTAAAAAACACACACCATACATTATAATATTAAAAACACTGGCCTGGATCCAGTTAAAAAAATTACACCATCATCACTCCGTTGGAGCACATTTCAGCTGTGAAGTGCTTCCAGTTAAGATGTCAGCACATGGATGAATAGGTTGCCTTACTGCCCAGACTCCTGAGAATCTTCACTTTCCCTAATGGTAGGGCCGGCCAGGTGAGTCTGAATATGTCTGAACCACCATGGCTTGTCCCTTAGGGGAAAAAAATTGTGTACTACAGTACTTTGAATTTTCGCTACTTGGTTCTTAAACACGGAGCTAGGGGAGCTTCCTTCAGCTCAGGCTGGCCTCTTCCCTTCTGTACAAACACAACGTGGAAACGTTTTTGACTGAACCTCTCCAACCAACCCCACGAAAAGTGGCCAGGCTGGCCGAGGCATTTTGGGGGCAGAAGCCAAAGGAAAGAACTTCTCCCGCTCCCTGAAAAAGCTTTGATTGCTCGTCACCCTCGTTTCCTGGACGGATTTGATGCAAAATAACCAAGAGGCTTGTCCTTGCCTGAAGGATTCCTGCGTGCATTCTGACGTAACATCAGCAATATTCCGCATTTCATTCTCCTTTGTCTACTAAGACTTTGCCTGTCAGCCAACCTCTGTCCTCGTTTCCCTCCTTTACCACCATAACCTGTGAAGAAAGCTGGTGTCTTATAGCTTGGGGATCTAAAGAGGTCACTCTTAAGAGGTGGTTTTGAGCCACACGAATGCCCAGGGCCCAGAAATCACAAGACAAACATGTGATGCCTCAGGGAATGGCTTTCTCATGGTCCTTCCCTGCCCCGTCCCCACGACCTTTCTCCAGTCCTTACCCCTGGTGAGCCTTTCTTTGCGCATGGCCTTGTGGTGGCCGTTCCCCCCCACCCGCAGACCCTCCTGACAACCTCCCCAAAAGCCAGAGCCAGGCTCTGCCCCCTTCGTTGCCTCCGCTCAGGGCACTGGCAAACCTCGGGGAGTTTGTCAAGCCCCTCTCCTGCCTGTATCCCACACACCCAGTCTCGTTCAGCTAATTCAAGCACACATCACTTGCGGGCCACCCCAACATGATGTAATCTTTTTAAAAGGAAAGGTTTAGGGCTCACTTTTACTTGCAGGGTGAATTTACAAAAAGAGGACTTTTGACATCTTGGGGGAACTTAAGATGAAAGCGAATGTCTGTCCGACACACGAAGGCACAGTC